GGTGAGGGGGCAAGGCAAGAAGCATGGAAGGTGTGCGTGTGCGTCTGCGTGTGTATGTGTGTGTGGGTGCGTGCGTGCGTGCGCGCGCGCGTGTGTGTGCGTTCGTGCGTGCGTGCGCGCGCGCGCGTGTGCGCGCTCGCGCATGTGTGTGTGTGTGTGTGTGTGTTGGTGATGGGAGCTTATCTGCTTCAAAAAAGCACTGACGACAGGATGGATGAATTGACAGATTTGGCTGCAAAAGCTTCGGATGGATTGGGACGAGGTAGCTTGCAGCTGATTCACTTGCGAAGCGTCTGTAACTGTGGCCAAACACGCAGCCCATTCCAAGAGGGAGAGGATGCCGTTGTGGCGTAGGCCGGTTGTTGGTGCCCAACAACAAACAGCGTCCCTGTGGTGTGCACGGCTGGCGCCGTTGTGCACAGCGCGCACCTGCTGCTGCCGCGCCGATGGCGCAGGGTCTGGCGCGTGATGCGCGGACAAATAAATGTCTGTTGAGTTGTCGTCCATGACCTGCGCACTCGAGAAGGCCTGCTCGTGCCCGCCGGTTTTGGCCCATGCGGGCTGCGCAAGACGAAGGCGCAGGGTGTGAGGGCGCTCTAAAGTTGCCAGGTGTGCGTATTAGTCATTTTAGGCTAGAGGCGCAGGCCGGTATGTGCCCTAAAAATCCGGAACGATGACCGCGGTCCACGCGCTCGCTGTGTGCACCCCTCCCCTTGCTGAGCTGGCTCTGGCCGTGCCACGCCCTGTGAAGTTCAACATCCCCGGTTACCAGCGTTTTGAACGTCACACATGCAACGGGAGCCGCCCTTTTCATGGACGCGAACAGCGCCATCAGCACGTAGATCGATCGGCCCTGAGAGCGCAGACGTCGTGTACAGAGTGTGGAGCACCTGTATGTAGGTCGCAAGAGCGAAGGCGATTAAACCCGATGCTGTGCAGTGAGACCTGACTCAAGCTTTCGCTTCAAAGCCTTGACGGTCTGGCGTGCGCAAATCGCTGAAGCTGCCGCAGCGCTCCGAGGCAGCAAAATGGGTTCTCGAGGCGGTGCAGCACCACGGAAACAGCTGATTGGACGATGTTCACCCTCACGCCGCCCTCGCCTCTCATCACAATCTGCTGCATCAGCCCCTGTAAGCGAGTTCGCACCGCCGTGCTGACTGTGCTTTGGAAGGGGGGTGGGGGTGGGCCGCACCAACACCTGCCCGGTGCACCTTGACTTGCCTGGTGCAGCGTGTCCCACTGCATCCCATTGGTGGCCACGCTGGATCACGCTCTGAAAGACTGCTTGGTGTCAGCGTTCACGCGGCAAAGAAAAGAAGTAACAATGGGGCACGGACCACACAGATGACCTGGCAACCGCCACCTCACCACGCCACCGCCGCCAGCCGCTGCTGCAGCGCCGCTGCCGCTGCAGCGACCCGCTGCAGCACCTGCCGCTGCTCCCCCTGCACCGCTTTGATCACGTGATGCACTGACAGCCGCGGCTCCCAGCCCACCAGCTGCCGCATGACGTCACTGGACTGGGGGTCCAGCTGCTGCAGCAGAACCGCCTCGGACTGCTCCGCGGCCTGCTGCAGCAGCTGCTTGCAGGCCGCCGCCAGCGAGCCGGCGAGCGCGGCCGCGGCCGCCGCGGCGGCGCCGAGCGCAGAGAGCGCGGACTGCACCGCGGGCGTGGCAAGCGCCGCCGCGGCGGGCGGCGGGGCGGCGGACTTCTTGGACTGCTTGCGCTTGCTGGCCTTGACGGCGCGCGACCAGCTCTAGCAGGGTGGAGCGTGTGCGGGTTTGCAGGTGAACCAGTGAGGGCTCAGGTGAGGTCTGGGGATTGGTGGAGTCGGTGTGCAGGGCACCATGCGAGCGGCACGGTGTGAGGGCGCTCCGATTGCTGCACAGCAGCGGCACCGGCGGCTGGCGCGCGGCGCAGGCGTATGCATGTTGGCACAGGCTGCGCCTGCAGCGATCGGGAGGGGGGTGGGGATGGGGCGGCGTACCTCCAGGCAGCTCGTGACCCACAGGCAGCCGCCATCCACCAGCAGCGACGCCAGCGACAGCGCGGCCCCGGGCAGCAGCCCGCACTCGCATGCGCCCGGCGCCAGGCGGGCCTCGGCCCCCCGCCGCAGCCCCTCCAACGCTGACGTCAGCAGCGCCGCCCGCCGCTGCACCCGCCCGCTCGCGCCCTCCAGCCCGTCGCCGCCGCCGCCGCCGCCGTCGCCGGCCGCCTGGGGCGCCACGCAGGCCAGCAGCTGCGCCGCAGCTTCCGCGGTGTGGAAGAGCGCCAAGTCCAGCAGCTGCAGCTGCCGAGAAGCCGGCACGCCCTCCGGCCCAATGCTGCCCTCGTCGCCACCGCCAAACGCAGCAGAGAGCGCGGCCTCAACTCCGTCACCCTCAGCAGCCGCCTGGATGCCTAGCGCCATCGCAAAGCGCGGGACTAGCGCCCGCAGCTCTGAATCCGCCGCCGCCGCAGCCACGGCGAGGCCGTCGCCGGCTGCCGCCTCGCCGCCGCCGCCGCTTGCGGCGGATGCGACCTTGCCCCCGGCCCCAGCCACTGCGGCGCCGGGCGGGTGGCCGGCGGCGAGCGCGGCCGACAGCAGGTGTGGCAGCAGCCAGCGCTGCAGCGCGCCGTCGCGCTGGGCCGCCCTCAGGCGCTGCGCCTGCGGGAGGTCCGCCTCCGCCGCTGCGACCTGGCGCCACCAACCCCTGTTCGGCACATAGCAGGGGGAGAGTTCAGGCAGGGAGGGGTGAGCACAGAGCGGAACGGGGCTCCCAAGGCGGCTGCGTTCCAGGACGGGTTGTCTGGACAGGCAACCTCACCAACATCAGAGCAAAACGTGGACCCAGACCAGTGTAATTTGCGCAAATCGGCACGCTGCCTGAGCCTCAGTGTCCAAAGCCAAGTGCTGCCTCAAATGCCACCGAGGCATGCGCCCCCTCGGGCCAATCGACCCACCTCGCGCGCCGCGCCTTGGCCGCCCCCGCTTCCCACCACCAAAGGAGCGCGAGGTGCGCCGCGCACGGCGCCGGCGGCAGCCACGGCGGGCGCGTCTGCAGGTCGGCGTTGAAGCGCATGCCCCGCCAGGCCGGCCCCGACAGCTCCGACAGCGGCAGTGCGCGCGCCGCCGCCGCCGCGGCCGCGGCCGCGGGGCCCGCTGGGTGCGGCGCGGGCGCGGCG